GTCAGTTAGGCAAGTCGAAGCACCTGTTGATGTGCTTGAACCGATTAAGGGAAGGAAAGGGAAGCTACCGAAGCCTAAGGCTAAGGATCCAAACAAGCGGCAAATGACAATGGAAGAAAAGGGAAAGCTTGGTGTAGATTTACAAGAACTGCCTCCTGAGAAGCTTGGACAGTTGATTCAGATTCTAAGGAAGAGAACTAGAGATTTACCTCAAGACGGAGACGAAATCGAGTTAGATATCGAAGCTTTAGACAATGAGACTCTATGGGAGCTTGATCGTTTTGTCACTAACTACAAAAAGATGGCAAGCAAGATCAAGCGACAAGGGTTTATCCAGAATGTGTCGACTCCTCCAAGAAACATGGTAAAAGCAAACTTATGATCTATATTATAAAAAACCGGCATTGTTTTTGAATGGTAAGTACTGATGTTTGTCTTTATCATCAGCCTCTGGTGACAGAAATTGGAAGTGCTGAGAAGAAAGGGAGGAAAGGAGGGGATGCAGGAGAAGAGGATGTAGACATTGGAGACGATATACCAATTGAGGATTATCCATCGGTGGAGATTGAAAGGGATGGTCCAGCTGCCGTGGCCGCCGTGAGTGGTGGGTCTAGCTCTTCTGGCAGCTCCGGTTCCAGTGGCAGTTCTTCGTCTAGTGGTAATAAAGAATTCCGTTTCATCTATATCTCGGCTAAATGGTATATCATTTTCCAGTATCTAAACGTCATTATCTTGTGTTACTCTTAATGCAGATTCGGAGTCAGGGAGTTCATCGGGGAGTGATTCTGATGCGGATAGTGTTCAATCTCCATTTGTGGAAGCAAAAGAAGCCTCGTGATAAGTCTTCTGAAGAAAGGTTGAGGAATATATATTCTTCAGGCATTTGATCTCCTTTGCTTGAAGATGATACAAGCATAACAACTCCTGGAGACTTAGAATCGGATGTGGAAGTGGTGTAAAGGGAAAGCAAGGGAAAAGCGAAAAGATTTTGAGTGTTAGGAAACAGTAGATAGAGAAAAATGTAAAGAGGGTAGCTAGAGATTTCTAGGTTGAGCAAGAGAAGTGGAAAGAGTTTTTATTTTTCTCTTTCAGATCAATGTGTTCTTTAAGATTATTAGTGATACGATGAGACTGACACCTAGGAGAGGAAGAGGAAGATGAAGATAGAACACATTGCCCCCATTTGTCGGGAATCTGTTTGATTAAAAGAACGAACAATGTAGTGGAAAATGGTTCTGACTTCCGAGGATAAAGGATTATCTCTGTTTCGTAAACCATTATTTTGTTACTAGCCTCACATCTCCGAGGTGTTCAACGACTACAATACTTTGCAAGACATGTTCAGTGAGCAAAGCAGTAACAAGTTTAACTTTTGTTGGATAACATTAATAATTTCCTTTAAGCATGGTACGAGGATGACTCTCCAAGTCTCAACCATAAAAAAGTCGAGTGAGTGACAAAGATCAATTAAAAGGACATTATTGGTTTCAGCTTTCAAGCAGAAGCAGCCAAGAGACCATTGTGTCTGAGCAGAGGCTCAGGGGAAGGTTCTCGTCCTCTGAATTCCACAAACACCTGTTCAATATGACCATTACATTTGATCATCATAAGCTCTCCAAACAAACGAATTCGATATAAGTAAAGAACGTTAAGGCAATGAAGAAAAATATTACTTGTAGAGGCGCTTTTCCTCCTCCCAGAGCAAGGATGGTGTTTCTGAATCTCTGTCCTGTTTCTTTAACAGCCTGTGTGTTTTGCAACAACAACAAAAAGAGATGTTCATAAATCTGGAAACCAAAATTGACAAGGTTCGTATGATTTGTTTTGCAGCAGATACCTTTATGTCATCCAATCCAGCATCTTCAAAAGCAGAAAACGCATCCGCAGACAAAACCTCCGCCCACTGCATGTTGATTATCGTTACTCAAGAGTATCTGTTGGACTAGTGAATTATATAGAAATAAAAGAGAATATATATACCTTGTAACTGTAATATCCAGCTGCATAACCGCCTGGCAAAACATGATAGCGTGAATGAGTGAACGAAACTATGGAATGGACCTAAGCTAAGTACGCACATGGCTGGTGTTTAAGGATTAATCAATAGGGCTTACCTGCAAATATATGGCTGAAGCTACAGAGAAATCTGTCCTCAGGAAGGGGAGGGATCACTTGGGTTTTTATAGATACCCTTTGATCAACATCGTAGATAGACTCTGTCCCACCTGGCGTATATTTTGTGTGCAGCTCCAAATCAACTGTAGCAAACTTCAACTGGAAACAAAACAAGAGCCATATTTACTGAAATGCGTTTCTACGGATCCGCCGCAGAAGAGAATCTCGGTATTACATATGAACATCAGCAGTTTGATTAGATGTACTGACCTGACGAAGACTAAGGGACCCTGCACGGAATGTTCTTGCAGCCAGTAGCTTCTTGTATACATTCTCGGGAAGAGTTTCTCCCGTTTGATAATGCTTAGCAATGCTCATTAAGGTATCCCTGAAATCACATCCAGATAATGTTCATTACAATTTTACTAGTATAGCGACTCCTGCAGCACTGAAAAGTATTGCCAAGAGGGTAAAAAATCACGTTGCCCCATACATTTCTAAATTAAACTCGGCAAGGCAGTTGAATTAAATTACCTGTGGTAGCACCAGTTCTCCATAAACTGTGAAGGTAATTCAACTGCATCCCACTCGATATTTCGGATACCAGCAACGAGCCCCTCATCCTCTTTGGTAAGCATATGCTGAAGAGCATGGCCAAATTCATGGAACACAGTCTCTACCTGTAAATCAGAGTGATAGTATTGTTATAAAGAACGTGGATCATGAGCCCTTGACCGTGCACATAAAAGTACGCTTATCAAGATTCATGTCAAGCTCCTACATGAATTCCGAAAGCACCAAAAGTTTCGAAGCATGGAAAGCTACACATTGGGGGAAAAGAAAAGGGGCCATCTATCTACTGCTACTACTAATGATTGTGAGATTTCTTCATAGCAAGACCCTTCATGTCATCAATATGAAAGGTTACGTCAGAGATATTACCATACCACAATAGTCTAACAAATTTAAAATTAGACATGGAGTAAGTTTTGTCAGGTACCAACGTAACTTCTAGTTTAGAAGAAACTAATCTTGAGGAATTGACTACTCATAGTTTGTTACCAACTACCATACCATCCTCTGCATTTACTTCATAGTTGATGGTGTTAATTCTTTTCGATACTTTCCTTCACAATAAATATAAGCTGTACAACCTGATGTAAAATCTAAGATTTTCTTTACCTCACGGAATGTCATAAGGCTTGGCTTGTCCCCAACTGGTGGAGTTTGATTGCACACCATGTGCGCAACAGGTAGCCTAACGGAGGAACCTTTCTGGGCCATGACTCTGCTGCGGGAGAAAACTTCATCCATCCAAGCGCCGTCTCTCTTTTCTGAAGGACGAGAGTATGGATCAAAGTAGAAATAAGCAATTGGATTTCCAGAAGAATCTTTGACGCAGTAGAACCTAACGTCACTGTTCCAGACCTGCAAGGCAATAATAGATAACATGTTAACACAGATAATCATATGATATGGACATAAGCAGAGACAAAACAGATTAGGCCCCCGATTTTACCGGAGCTACACCATCTGCTGGCACAACATCAATTCCAAATAGTGTCTTAGCTAAACCGAAAAGCGCATCCATAACCTTTGGCAGTGAGAAGTAAGGTCGCAGTTCTTCCTGCAAAAATACAGGAAGTGTGTGATAAGCGTCAAAAGTTTCAAAACAACTTACTTGTATCAAAAGCTAAAGAATAAGGACAAGAACCTCATTAATATCGTATTTGGATTCACGGAGCCTCTCACTCCAGAAAGTGATGTCCCAGTGAGTCAAACTGTCAGCTTCTGCAGCACCTTGGTTCTTTGCAAAATTCTTAAGGTCTTCTAAGTCTAAGTCCATAACACATGTAAAATTAATTAGGGTCTGTCTTCATAGGCCGATGCAAAAAAAGCTATGAGGGTCACCTGTTACATACTTCATCGGACAGATAAATGCAGTAGTAGCTAACTAGTTTAAAGAACTATATGTTGATTTTGAGAAAATCTTCACCAGAAGTTACCTTGAACAGCGGGATCCCAAGAAGCAATACGAAGCTTTTCTAGTAGCTCGTCTGCTTTCTCTACAGTAGCCATTTTCGTGGCCATGCTTACCTGGACAAGGAGAATGACATTAAATTTAAGCCCATGAATAAAGGAGAGTAGCTTGACTTATTAAAGGACTATACCTCAGCGTAATTTCTGTAACCAAGAAGCTTAGCCTTTTCCAATCGAAGCTTCAAGATTTGGTCGATAATTGCTGTGTTATCTAAATCACCCGAAGAGGCACGAGATAAGTAAGCACGGTAGACCTCCTCGCGCAGAGAACGATTTTTGGCATGTTGCATGACGGGTAGATAGCTAGGAGCGTCCAGTGTAATGAGCCATGGTCCAGTGTCAGCAGTTGCATTTTCATGGCCCTTGTGTCATATATCGAGACGCATCAACAACTGAAAAACCCAGTGTAAAACGACATGAACTTTACAAATATTTCAGATATTGTTCATACCTTGGAAACAGCAGCTTGTGCGAACAGTCCAAGTGCAGATGGCGGCAACCCCTCAATCTCAATCTTGTCTGTTATCAACTTTTCAAACTTCTTTGTAGCGTCCAAAACATTCTCAGAAAATTTATGGGAAAGTTTTTCAAGTTCCTACAGTGGAAGGGTAAATCAAGTAAGCCAATGATATTACTAATTACACAGAAGCCATACTTGTGGAGACATGGACATTTATTCGTCAAAGGTTTTAGAGAAACCTGTTCAATTTTGTTAAATTCCTCTCTCTTGTCGTCTTCAAGAGCAATACCAATGAGAACCGCCTCCTTTATTTGTGCTGAAAACACACAGATACCATGGTTAGGTCCCATCTCTAGACACTAAACATATAAATCCCTCTTATCCATATTCTAAAAAGTTCAAAAGGGAAGAACAAAATGTGTTACTTCTTAAGCCCCAATTATAGTTACTTGCCTTCAACTAATCGTTGACGAGCTTCACTTAGTGTTTTCCAGTCTGGAGATTCTCGAACAAACTTAAATGCATTGTAAATGGATTTGCTCTGCCCCAACCTTAGCTGAAACTTCACCTTCTCTGGCTGTAGAGGAAAGCATGGTTAGGAAAACTAGAAAAATGAATCCTAAACAAACAAACAAAAACTCAGAACTCCCTTTGTCTGAATCCATAAAACCTACTAAATAGAAATACAATACACTCTAGAAAACGAACTTAGCCATACAAAGGTTCTGACTCCATGTATATCGTTTAAACATGGATGAAAATCTTTGTAGCAAGCAAACAATTGCAGCATCGATTCGTACGAGATTCTCACTGAAGTACAAAATCTAATCAAAACACTAATAAGCAGAGAAAAAAAAAATTTGAGAAGACAATTATAATCTACCTGAACTTCTTCAATGGCAGCACGAAGCTCGGGTGTGTCCTTAACAGCCTTAAGGTGATTAATCATTCCCCAAACAACAGACAAACGATCAATAATCTTCTCTAATGGCTCCACTAGTTTTGGCCATGAAGGCTCCACAGTTTTCTCTAGCTGCTCCAATTCAGCTTCCTGGAAAAAGTCCCATACGAAAACTAAAACATCAAAATCAATTACCAACAACTCAGGAATCCAATAACATAGAAAACTGATGCAATATTCAACTAATCTGTTCACAGGATCATAGAAACCGTTTAAACAAAGGTGTAGAAGAAGACTGGAGAAATGCAGAAAAACAAGAGTTATCTAATCATCCGATGCGATTCGTCAACTATATCAACATTCGAAAGCATAAGATAGAGAATCGTACGAGCTGTTGCAACAGAGCACGAATCCCTGGTCTGACGTGATGAGCATCGACGATGTCAAACGGAGGAAACTCGAAATTCTGCAACAGAGGGTTCGAGGAGATAGAATCTTCAGAAGCCATTGAAGAAGACGATGACGAGAAAGTGAGGAAAGCGAAGAGAATCAGACGCGGAGGCAGTGAAGGTGTGGATCTGAGAGAGAGACAGATGGGGCAAGGATTTGATTAAGGTGAAGTTGGGGGGCGAAAATGAGAATAATAGAAACTTGCGTTTGTTGCAAAAGGGTAAATTTGTCAAATCATTCTTGAGTTTTTTTATGAACAAGACTGAAAATGTGTAGCGATTTAGTTGGTTTTTACTACATGCCCACCAAGTGTTCGACAAATAGTTTTCTAGTATTTTCTTTTAAAAATTTCAACATCGTTTTCGAAGATAAAGGTTGTTTTTTTGGTATCTGGGTTTGTTCTTGCACGTAGGAGAAGGCATGAATTTCAGTTTTAGATATCATTTGTTTATTCTTGAGGTCAATTGTTTTGCTTACAATTGTTTATCACATTCCTTTGATGATAACAGATAGACTTAGCTGGAAAAATTAAGGTTATAAGGTTTGATGCTGACTACATTTTTATTTCAGGTTGAGCTGGCTATCTTATTTTTCTAATTCCTAGGTTTGTCATAGGCTTATATTGGTTTCTTGAATTTTAGTGTTTTTCAAAATCTCAAAAAGAAATATGACTTTTTCATTTCTATGTACTTCCTGTTGTGTCTTTTTAAAGTGTTGCAGGCCAAGGTTCTTACTTACTGTTGCAATGACATGTTCTTGTTTATTCAGTTTACAGATGAACCACCTGTGTTGCTAATGCTCTTGTTCAATAAACTAATCATGGTCGTGCATAAATTATTTTTGTGGGAAAGATCATCAGTGTTAATGGTTCACTTTCCATTGGTGATGCTACTGAAAAACCTTAATTTTTAAGTTGCTCTGCATAAGTTTCACCTCTAGGCTTGGGGAAAAAAAAGATGTTATCTCTTTGATATGCCTTGTGATTATCTTAAGCTACAATTTAGGATGAGCACTAAACATGTCTTCCACTTTTTTATAATCTTTAATGTCATATTCGTTAGCAATCAAAACAGAATTTTCAATTGGAATTATGATTTGTTTACTCTTTAAGGTCAACTATTTTGATGACTTAAATGATTGTTTATAACTTTGTTTTTCCATATGATAGTTGGGATCAGGCTAGTTGCAATCATTCTTCTTCTAATGTCATTGACTTGCTGTTAAGTATACATATCAGTTGCACAATTCTTGGTCTCTTGTAATAATAGCTATTTCTTCCTGCAAAATGGCTAACTCAATCTTGTTCTTTTTCTTTGTTTTGGTTCTCCCTTTTGTCCGTTCAATTCAGTTTAACATATCTCGTTTTGGGTCAGATGGTTCTGAAATAGCATACCAAGGAGATGCAAGACCAAACGGAGCTGTTGAGCTTACCAACATTGACTACACATGCCGTGCTGGTTGGGCTACTTATGGTAAGAAGATTCCTTTATGGCTTCAAGAAACCGGTAAGCCTTCGGATTTTCGTACAAGCTTCTCCTTCAGAATTGATACCCGGAGTGTTGGGTACAGTAACTACGGTCATGGGTTTGCTTTCTTTCTAGCACCAGCTGGAATCCAGTTGCCTCCCAACTCAGCTGGTGGTTACTTGGGTCTATTTAATGAAACCAATGTTAAATCTTCTTCTTTTCCACTTGTTCATGTCGAATTCGACACATATTCTAACGATGAATGGGATCCTCTCGAGATGAAATCTCATGTGGGAATCAACAACAACTCTCTTTCTTCTTCTAACTACACTTCTTGGAATGCAACCTCACACAACCAAGATATAAACCATGTGCTGATCTTCTATGATTCCGCTAAGAGAAACTTGAGCGTCTCTTGGACTTATGACTCAACATCTGATCCTCTGGAGAGTTCAAGCTTATCTTACATCATTGATCTTTCAAAAGTACTGCCATCAGAAGTAACGATTGGGTTTTCCGCGACATCTGGAGGGGTCACGGAGGGAAATAGACTTCTGTCATGGGAGTTCAGTTCAAGCCTGGAGCTAACAGATATAAAGAAAAGTCAAAATGACAGGAAGGGGATGATCATTGGTATTTCAGTTTCCGGGTTTGTTTTGCTGACCTTTATTGTTGTCTCGCTCGTCGTCTTCTTTAAACG